ACGCTGGGGGCCCACATAAGGTGTTGCAATAGTGTAAATATAACAAAGCCAGACACCGATTGTTTCCTTTGCTAGATAAAAACAATGTACAGAATACTCAGATGAAACAACTAAAGTAAACTAGGATATATTAGAGCCAATGAATTCATAATTTCCGATGAAAAGGGCTGGGAAAAAATACCCTTCATAACAAATCACCGTCATAACAAATCACCGTGTTGAAGGACGGTAAACAAATGAGACACTGATTGTCAAATTGTTTTGGTAATCATCGCATTGATTCATTTCAATTGTACAGGGTACTCGTGACACAAAAATAAGGTAAACCAGCCTACTTAGTGCTAATGATTTTGAGATTTTCCACACTAAGAACGTTCTCAGAAATAATCCGACATGCTGATCAGCCCACCAACAATCGGCACCAAAATTGATCAAAGCTGTCACGGTAAATTTGGTATGTTTTACGAGTTTATTTTCTCCAAATCGCAACACATATTTACACATGTAGGTGAATTTTGACAGCTCTGTGTAAATAGATATTTTTACTGGGAATGTGCCCCATTTTACGTACGAGAAGCCCTTACACAACGCAGTAGTCATCTACACACATAGACATCGTATATCTACTAATCGACTTGATAGCATCGTAATTTGGGGAGGGTGAAGGTGAAAGTTTCCAAATGTGTATATATGCAATTCATAATGGAAAGAAGTACAATACAATGTTGGTAAGCGATACAAAGGAAATATCTCCTTACGGCAGCGACTTGATACAACTACATTGATGCTGGAGGTCACCATATTTGTTCTTGCATTCAATAATACGGCGATAAATCATGATTTACAAGTACAACGAATTTACACATTTTACCATGAAATCGAACCTACCAACCATTTTCATATCTTCAACACTGCCATGTTTTTGGCGATGATGAATCTCACATTCATTATCTTAACTGGGTCCACACAGGGTTCAAAGTACCGTGGCTTGAATGTAATTGTACACCACACGTGAATGTAAACTAGCTTGCACACTAATTCGTTTCACAGTCATTGAGGTTATACATTTGTTCAATTACTTATTTATTTATTTATTTATTTATACGATAATAAAAAAAACACATGTAATTTCTTAGAGCTTTTCATAATATAAACTGATACATGTCATCTTCTGGGCGTTTGCTTCATTTTTGTACAACACACTAGAAATAACAAAATGGCTGACACCATCATAAATTGCGGGTCATAAAAAATAGAATACGCATGCGCATCATTATGCAAATTAGTCCACTTACTGATTCCTATTACCGGTAGTTGTATTCATGCAATTGGGCAGAAAAAAATAAAAAAAAATAATGATGAAAAAATCTGAGAAAGAACCATCCAAGGTACTTGCATATCAAATTTGAAAACATTCTGACTCACGGTTTTGAAGAAGAAGTTGAAATTGTAAAGATGACGACGTCGACGGACAGTCAGTAATATGAACAGTTCCGCTGTGTCGACTTTGTCGACAGCGGAGCTAAAAAGTTGTGAAAATAGTAATGAACAAAAAATAGAAAATGAGAAATATACAACAAGCAGCCTGTCGGCTGAGATAGCTATGCTGTTAGTAATGCACATTTCAATTAAAGAACTAAAGATATCATTACAAAATAAACGATATTTATAGTATCAAAGCAAACGGACTTGCTGTTTTCAACAAGAAGTCGAAAATATCACTATTTACCAAAAATGACAAAATCAAAATTAGAGAATTAAAGATATCATCACTAAATGAACAAATCTGAAGCGGCCCACATGTAGTACCTAAATATGTAATATCAAAGCAATCGGATTTGCGGTTTTTAACAAGAAGTCGAAAATATCACATTTTACCACAATTGACAAAAAAATTCACCAAAATTAGAGAATTGAAGATATCATCACAAAATGAACAAATCTAAGAGAGGTCTACCCAAGGTACATATACACCAAGTATCAAAACATTCAGGCTTGTAGTTTTTAAGAAGAAGTCGAAAAAGTAACAAGTTGACACAGATGACGGAAAATCACTCATATGATAAGCTCCACTTGACAAAGTCGACAGCGGATCTAAAAATAGGCTCTAGAAGCCCAATCATTAAAACAAAATGGCCACCAGACAGCCATTTTGAATCCGATCTGAAAAATAAATGATGTGCATCAGGAACCTGTAATGTCTAACATATGTACCAAGTTTGAACGAAATCCATCCATAAATGCTTGATATTTGATGATTTTTTAGCACAAAAATGGCCACCATTTGGCCATTTTGAATAGGATCGTCAAACCAATATATCTGTCTATCTATGACATGATGTATAATGAATATTTAAAATTTGAACATAATCAGTGAAAGCAAGTCAGAGATATGGCACGAGAACCACATTCATTAAAACAAAATAGCTGCCAGTCGGCCATTTTGAATCTTATCTAAAAAACAAAATTATTTGCATCAAGGTCCCATAATGTCTAATGTATATACCAAGTTTGAACAAAATCCATCTGTAAACAGCCGAGAAATGCTTGATTTTGATGATTTTTTAGCACAAAAATGGCTGCCATTCGGCCATCTTGAATCAGATTGTAAAACAAAATGAT